CGAAATTATTTATCTGATAAATAATTTCGATAAATAATTGCTATTTTTCCGAACTTATTTATAAAATAAATAATTTCGGGATAAATCAATTCACCGAGCCGTTCTTCTTTCGCCTTGCTTCGTCAGAACGATTGCGGCTGCCGTTGCTGCTAACGCAACCATATATCTGGATACGAGAAGTATTATTCTGATATTATTTAGCATATTTTGATTGTTTGATGTATATTGCCTTCGTCCAAATTCATTGCGTTCGGGTCTTCTTTCATGTAGTGGTATTCATACGCGTCGAGGCGTCTCTCGTCGTTCACTTGTTGTTCTAACATAACGTTATCAATGCCAATGTCTAAATGGTCATTTACTAGCGCATGTAACGCGACTGCTGATTTGTTTGGCATATTATTATGAATACACTTAAACCGACTCGCACTTCTATTTCTCTCTTTGTTTGTCCGTGGTATGCACGATTGCAAATGTTACATTTTACACAGTAGATGCCCGACTTTTTAAGTTTAGGTGTTTTGTCTTTTGTTAAACCCAATAAATTCGCTAGTTTATTTTCATTGTGATAAACAAACTGCATATCAAATTCTTTGAATTTGGTTTTCAGTTTATTCGTTATTCTGGGAACAAAAGAAATCGACACTCGTTTTGGATCGTGTTTTTCGTTCGTAGCGAAAAACGTAGAAAGGTTTGATCTTCTCACTTTCTCCGAATGTTTATATACGATATTGTCGACAAGTTTCGCAATTTTACTTTTACGTACACACCGTGTCAAGGGAAAGTATAGGAATTGGTCCCGAAAACTTTTTTCACAAAATTGGTTTAGATCATCATAAAAACTCACTTTTTGAGACACTTTTCCGTTCGTGTGCCATCGTCGTTGTCGTCGTTGGTGTGTGTTAACACGATAACTAAAAAAATAATTGAGATAATCAAAATCTGGAAATGCCAATAGTTTTGTATCCGAAAAACATAGTTTAAGTTCGAAGATGAGCCATTTTCGATTGAGTATACCCCAGTACTTGCCCCAAGAAAAACCTCGAAAAATTGACACTTTTGTATGGGAGGTACCCGTAAATCGACTCCGATTGGATTCAATTTTTCTGGGATTGTTTTGGGAGGAAAATGAGATTCTGAAAGTTTGAAGTCAATCGGAGTCGATTTACGCATACCTCTCATACAAAATTGTCGAAATTTCGACTAAAATTACCGTTTTTTTGTAAATCGATTCCTATTGGCTTCAAACTTTCTGAGGTTTTATTTTTTGGAGAAAAAATAAGATTCTGAAAGTTTCATGTTGATCGCATTTGCAGAAGTTCGATTTTTTGTCCTCAATTTTTGTCGAACTTTTCTTGGAAAAATTTGAGGGCCAAAAACCAAACTTCTGCAAATGCGATCAACATGAAACTTTCGAAATCATATTTTTTTTGTAAAAAATGAAACCTTAAAAAGTTTGAAGCCAATAGGAATCGATTTACGGGTACCTCCCATACAAAATTGTCGAAGTTTTGACTAAAGTGACCGATTTTTCAAGAATATTTAAAAAAATCCAAAAATACGGACAACGGCACGGAAAAGTTTAGGATTACGAATGTAATTCTTTTTATTTTGAATGTAATCATACTCCTCTTTATAATTTCCCATTGGTAATGGCAATCTACACAACCGGTGAATGAAACTATGAAAACCTGCCAATTTATTTTGGATTGCGCAATGTGACAACAGCGTACCAGTCAAAGTTAGCAACCGGAAAATGCAAGAGCAAACGGCAAGTTTTACCCTAAAAAAAATTGCACGTATCGGTGCTGCTCATGAACATCTAAAACCGCATCTGCTGCCGGGCCGGTTCATGTGCAATCGGAATTCGATACCGGACACTCGATGGGTCGGTACTGACAATGCAGCTCATGATGGCCATTATCGGGACGAAATTCGGTTGTACAGCCATGGATATGGTATCGGCACAATACTGGGATTTTTATGAGCGCTTCGATAATTGTACGGCTTCGTCTTTGATTGCGAAAATCGCATTAGGCAAAGCTTTCTTTCTTGAAGTCGACCAAAACACGAGTCACAAACGCAGTGTTCATTGTTGAAAATATAAAGAAGCGAAGTCTGCAAATCTGGATCGGGCAAA